CTCTACGCACAGCTCCGAGCACCAGAGACAGCTCCCAGCCCCAGCGGCCGGCCAAGGCGCTGAAGCCCTGCAGTCGGAAGAGGAAAGCAGCGGCTGCAATTACTCAAACTTGAAAGCGCTCGTGTTTCATCTCCATCCTCCTCCCCGGCTCCTCCCCCCGCTGTCTCTCCCAGCAGCTCCCGAGCCTCCGCTGCGTGTTGCGAAGCAAGTAAGGGCTGCAGCAGCGAGGGGAAGGCTCAGGAAGCGGCACTGGACCCTAGGGGCTTCCTCGTTCTTTCCTGCAAGGTCCGGTCCCCCTGCAACAGTAGCTATTTCCATCCCACTTGGAACAGAAAAAACCCCATCACCAGCCAATAGGCGCTGTCAGCCCCTGACTTGGGCATCAGCCTCCCCGCAGAGTGAGCGGAGCGGGGCATTTGGGGCGGGGGAAACGGGCCATTTCCCAATGGCGGAGCGACCGCAGCCCAGGGTTATTCAGCAAAAAGGTGGGGCGCAGGCCAGTTTCTTTCCGTGCACCTCATACCCGCGGCGAGGCGGAGAAGAAGAGTTTGAACCTCAAATATCAAATCTTCAATCTCGGGAAAGGGAAGGGCCGCGTGAAGAGCTGGAGAGACTTGGAAAGACTCAACTGTCCTGTCACCATTGCGCCACGAGCCAAGAAACTCTCCGATCCCAATTAAACTGCCAGATGGATCGATCCCCTCTGACATCATTCCTGTCCCATACGCAGCCAGAAGAGCCTACGGCCAGGCAGGCTGCTCTCAGCCCGGCCCTTTTCAGGAGAGCGCTCTGCTACAGGGACGAGTTTCGGGCTGAAAGTTCCCGTTCCATGTTCGGGTTTTCAAGCCCTTCTCTTCCTGCAGGAAGGAGAGCGCTGCCAGGAGCCGCAAGAGCTCCGTGCTCTTAAGCCAGCATTAGTCCCCCGGAGTGATTGAATATGGAGAGGCCTTTTGACTAGAGAAATAAGGCCTCTTATTGTTATGAAGGCTGAATATTATGACAGCCAGGCTCTAGGAGAGGGTGTTGTCATAATAACTGAAATTGTTCAGAACACTTGCAAAACAGGACTAAGGTTTTCCATTGAGACTGGTGCGTCACAGAGCGACAGGGGCAGTGGTTAGCCCAGCCTCTGCACAGGCTCTTTGGAGTACCCCTATTACTGGCCAAGCCCTCAGCTTAGGTTTTCACAAGGGCCAGTCCTGCAGCTTGGCTTCTCCAAGACTGAACCTTCGGGCTCCAGCACCCCCTGGATCTCATCACAGGCTGTCCACTGAGTCCAGAGGAGTTCAGACTCCTGTTAGAGTTTTACCCCTTCAGGGAGCAATGCAGCCACTGTATCTGCAGAGACACAGGGCAGCCTTCTCTAGGCAAGCCAGCAGTTGGTAGTCGACTGCAGTACAGCCCTTGAGAGCCCTTAAGTTGGCACGGAAAAGTCAAACCTAGGACTGAGTCTAATATTGGCAGAAGCAACTGCCCCTATTTGTCTATGGTTTTCTGGAGTCCATCCTAGTCTCTCTCTGATTCTGTGAGTCTGGAGCCCAGTCCTTAACCCAGCCACCGGACACCTCCTGTGTCTTCGTCCCCCCTGCAGCCCTGCTGTGTTCCACATCTTCTTGGTCGCCCGCTGTTGAGTCAATGTTGAATCATCAGGTCTTCCATTATCTCACCAGGGTGCTTCATTCATGTGTGTCCATGCCATTCAGTTCGTGATGGTGCATTTGGGTCAAGCCACACTGGCATGTGACATCCACCCATCTCTTACTACCCTGTCCCAGGGGAGGAAATTAACTCCTTCACAGCCAATGGTTAACAATACAAAGTGTGGGTAAACTGGGTCATGCATATTGTTGATAAAAAGTAAAAGTTTTTCCACATTCTCCACAACTGGGACAGAGCTTCACCTGTGTAAACCAAAGCAGTGCCATGAACATCATTGCTAGATCGGCATAATGCCTTTCTAAGAGGGCTCAGATTAATGGACCTATGCACATCTGGCCCAGTGGTTTTTACAGAATAAGAACATATCCACTTCCACATTTAAAAAGTCTATTTGGCTTCTCTGCTGGTCCCCTTTAGGAAAGGAGATGCCCTATTTTTAAAGAGATCTTTTTATCCTTACCATATGCTTCAGAATTCTTGGGCAGGATCCCAGCTAGTCCCTGAAGTTTAGCCAGTCTTTAGACTAATTCTTTGATCATTGGTGGTATTCTCTCAACATCTCTGGTGATTTTGTCTCTCTCCAGGATCTCGGTATATCTTGCTGATGCTGCAAGATGTCTTCATTCTTTATTTTTACTCTGGAAAATTTGTCTGTTCCTTGACTTCCTTAGGGTTCCCCCTTCCCGCACACCCCTTATTCTTTTGAAGAGAATTTTCTATTCCTTCATGTCATTTTAAATATATTCTCTGAAGCTTTTCTTCCTTCATTTGCTTAATATGCTATTTCTCCACCCACTTATTTTCTCAGTAAAGAAAGAGGTTCACAGATGGGCAAACAATGTGTTTGGAGGGCCTTCAATAAAGAAGATGAGAACTGTTTAGAGAGAAGACAAGAAAGGAGATGATTTAGAGTCATACAAAAATAAATGACTTGTACAGAGAAGATATACCAGGAATCCCTATATAACTGCTCTCAAAATACAGGAACAATTTGATGAAAGTGAAAGGTAGCAATTTAAAAGCTGTTGAAGGGTTGTTTTTGTTCTGTTTTGTTGTCATTTGTTTCCACGATAGATAATTAACCTGCAGAACTCACTGCCACAAGGCAGCACTGAGGCTAAGAGCTCAGAATGACTGCATTTATAGGGATAGTGTCTATATGTCTAAATGTTAGACAATTATAGGGATAATGAGAATTTCCAAAGTTACGTTAAAGAAGCTAAAAATAATATGAAGGGTATAAACTCTCATGCTTCAGGGCACAAACTAGCCCTTATTTGATGGGGGCTCAGAAGAAATTTCTCCTATGATCAAGTTATTCACTCTGAAGTTTCTTGTGTTTTCCCCTGAAGCATATGACAGTGGCTACTGTACCACATGGACCATGGGCAGTTTTGAGTGAAATGCTATATTGGGCTATTATACATGTGCAGATTGCATAGGATTATTAGCAGGAGTAGGTAGGTGTATTATAATATCACACAAAGGTCCCACACAGTGTGCAGGATCACATTGTGCTGAGTGTTGTACAGACACCTGCCTTTATCCCATAACAATTTAGCAGCACCACCCTTTTGACCAGCAGGCTGGATTGCCTCTTCACAGGGCTCACAGCAGTGCACCTCCATCACTTGCAGCTTGTTCAGAAAACAGCAGCATGTTTGTCCATTGAGTTGGGTTATAACAATCATATTGCACCTGCCCTGTGTTATTTACTCCACTTGCCTCTAGAGAATGGCACAGAGATTTTAAGTGGACACTGTTAGCTTTTCAGATCCTATCTGCCCAGGGCCTGGCTGCATTTGAGACCTCCTCCTTGAAGCGAAGGTGTGCTCCAAGGCCACCCGCCTTTTCATGGATGCCACTGTCACGTCTCTGATTGGAAGATGATTGTACCTTTGTTGGGGTGGACTGTAGCATGTGGAGATGTCTTCCACCCTCAGTGTGCCCAAAATCCATCTCTCCCCTCTCAATTAAGCCTACCAGTTTAAAGAATGCCAAGCTGGTAGGCTCCTTTTAATTAGGTTGGCCCAATATTTATTACCTTTCCAGCCTCACCCTTTCCCCCACCCCTTCTTGCATGTAGACCCCCTTGGTTCATATCATCACTTCACATTTTAAGACTCATTTTCAGTTATATTTGTATTAGGTTTTTGTTATTCTGTGCAATGCCTCAAGCATTTGAGGGAGGAAGGGAACACTTTATAAACAAAAACCCTCCTCCTTTACAAGGACAAGCTGCATCAGTTATAGTCTGTTAGCTAGCAGGGAATGTTTGAGGTATATATTTTGACATGGATAAAGATTACCAATAATCCACTGTCAGGCTGGGCCCAGCAGCCTTATAAAGAGGCTAAATTGCACACAATGCCATATTGGGTTGGACACATGAAGCCAGATTCTTTGGCCTGGTTGAGTTGTGCTTAGCACAGGACTGAGCAGTGGATGGGGGGGGTCTGAAAGTGGCTTTAATCCACTTTAGCTATCCCCAGATCCTGAAGTTGCCTGAAGTTTGCTTTAACTCTCATCTAGCTAATTGCATGGATCACAGCAGCAGCTGAGGATAGTCAGAGAGCAGAGGCACCCTGCACATATCCCTTCCCCCTGGGAATGGCCATTTGATTGGGGGGAAAGCGGTAGGACACTTGGAGGTTTCCCTTATGGTAGCCAGTCAAGCCAGTTCTCCGTCTGCTTTGCAATGCGAGAGTGGCACAAAGCAACCGAGTGGGAGCCAGACGTTTGGCTGATGTATCTTAGAAGACTAGTTGGACAGTTAATCTACTGGGTCATATTTCATTTAAAATCCACTATATTTAATACCAGGATTAGAGGAATATTAAAGTGAAAAATATTGAAGTGAAACATAAAAACTATATTTATTTGGAAAGAGGATTAATTTGTTTTAAGTATTTATTTTAATTAGTCAATACCTTGTTTAGATCCCTTTATTCCTTTCTGAAACCCTTTGGAAAGAGCTGATGCTTTAAGCTTAATTGCAACAAATACATCTGTAATGAGAAGTTTATTTAAAAATCAAGTCATAGCTTAATTAGGCTTCAGACCACAAATCTCTCTCCTTCCAGGTCAACAGAAGGACCCCAAGCCAGAAAAACAGAAACTGATTCCAAAACCATCTGCACCCATATGATCTGCTGTTTCACTGCCTGTTCCTGACAATGCTAATTACATCTCTCTATTAATTCCTCTGACAGCATAAATGTTTCTGCCAGGTCAGATGATCAGCCTCAGTAGCAACGGGAAAAAAACAGGGCGAGCCCTTTATGTTTTCCACAACCAAGAAGCGACACTGAAGTCAGATATAAAAACATTACTCCTATAGCTTAGGATATATTGAACTGACACACAACATTGATCCAAAAATCTAAGCCCTATTAAAGAGCACTGACAGAGCGCAATACCTTAAAATATGGTGTCAGGACACAATCATTTAAAAGTTACAGAACTGACATCTCAGTTTGCCTCATGCAGAGCTATTTCAAAGAAAATAAACCAGAGTTTCGAGCATGGGACCGATCCCAAGGCAAGACTGTAATTGACTTCAGTGGGAACAGTATCATTCTCCATACACATTTTCCTTTTCCATTTAATGTTTTAAGGATCTGATCCAAAACCCACTGAAGTCAACGTGAGTCTTTCCACTGACACCATTAGGTTTGGGTCAGTCCTGAGGCAAACATACTGTGATACCGAACTGGGACATTTACAGTTATTTATAGAAGCCCACAAGCTTAAACAAAACATGTGGGCCAAAATCTGCTGTCTGTTCCGTCAGTGTGAATGTAGAGACATCCACTGTAGTCAATAGCACTGCTCTGGATTTACACCAGTGTAAGAGAGCACAATTTTAACATTTTATATAAAATATTATTTACCTGTGGCTAAATGTTGTCCTCAGATATGTACCTACATTTCCCAATTAAGTCAATGGGATTCACGTCCATGTGTCCAAATTCTGCCCTTACACATGCTCAAGCTCACCTAGGGTTAAAGTCATCCCCATGTGGAGGGCTAACACAAGCACTAGGCAGCACTTAAGCCTAGTTCTGTGAACTTAAGTGGTGCATAGGCCTTGTATTAGCACAAGCATGAACTTCACCCCCAAGAACTCCAGCTACCCTCACTTCCTTGCAGTACCGAAGGGTAAGTGACGCTATCAAGCTCCTCTATGTTATTCATTCTCAGGGGGTAACCGATAACGTAAGATAGCTCACCTGGAGAGGGTCTTCTCCTGGGTTTGTGCCTTCCTGTCTCAATCACAGCAGAGAGGTTTTATTCAGTGTAAAAGTCTCCCCCTGCTGTATCCTCAGGCCTGCAAAAAGATGTGTTTTCCCTTTTAAAAAAATCTTAAGAAGAAAGGAACAGCTTTTCCTAGGACTTTTCTCCAGTTTGAAGCTCTGAGGGTCTAACAGGGAGGATGCTGTTACCCTCAGAATTAAGTGGAGTTGTCGAAGGCCAACTCCACCCTGGGTATGTTTCATAGCACTCTGAGTAAGACAGCGCTCATGATATTGTCAACTGTAATTCAGTTTCAAGATACAATATATTGCTAGCAAAAGACAGACCCTAGTAATGAGAAGCAAATACAGGCTCATATCTTGAGCTGGTGTAAACAGGCCTAGTCCCATTAAGTTAAATGGATTGACAGCAGATGAGGATCTGGCCCATGAGATCTATATGGCATCACAAAGCTGATTTTACCGGAGCTGGGCAGTCTCAAGGCTGCCGGACAAGGACTACAAAGCATATTCCTCCAATTAGGGACCAATGAGCTCCCCCCCCGTACCCCACCCCCCGCCTGACACAGCAAACCTCTCCCTGCTAACCATTGGCCTAAGCAGAGAATCCATGTAGCCCACTGAACAGCTCATGTTCCTAATTAAGTACTAGACAGCTGAAATCGATGAAGACAGGATACATCCTTGCCCTGTCTTCTCTCAAAGCAGAAAGAAAGTGCATGGTTCATTTATTTTGCCATTTTGCTCTACATTAAGATTTGTTTTATTGGCCTGACAAAATGTAAACTGATCCGTTTAATTACTTTCAGGTTACTCAGTGCAGTGCAAGTACAGGAGGAAAAGCTACATTTAAGACAGTAGTTTATGGTCCATTTTCTTCACTGTTCCTGTTTTGATCACTCTCCATAGAAAACAGTAGGGAAGAGGGCTGTAATCTCTAAATGGAGTTCTAGTACCAATGCTGTCTAGTCTGTATGTGACATTCTGGCTTATTTGATGTCAAAGGCAATATTCCTATTGACTACAATAGGGCCAGGGTTGGTGCTGTGTATTTAAGTACCTTCTCCTTTGTATTTAAGTGCCCTCTCCTTTGTATTTAAGTGCCCTCTCAACATAATCCATAACCCTTAACCCTTTGCTGGCTAGCGAGTTCAGTTTACAAACAATATAAAACAAATTAAAACCTGCACTGTTCTGGATGCCTTATTAGTTTTACTAATAAAATAAAGATCTTGGGGGGTCTGGCAAATCATTCCAGTTTATTCTGGTTATTAGCAGTGGGGTATGAAGATAGAAATCAGAGAATATGTGTTTGCACTAGAAAGGTAAACTGGAAATTTCTGTCTACCCCCATTCTTAGATGAACAATACAAGAATAATTTAACTGAAGATGAAAAGCAACACAATAGAAAAAAACCTGAAAAAATACTATTTTGCAAAAGCCCCATAGTTAACCTATGGAATTCACTGCCACAAAGAGATCATGGAAGCCAAGAGCATAGGAGGATTCAAAAAAGGCTGGGCATTTACATGGAAAATGATGAGACTATGATAATTACATTAGATGGGGTACATAAAACTGAGGGAACATAAACCCTAAAGGACAGATTTTGAAAAGGTGGTGCCTAAAGATGCAGATAGGAACCAGGACTTCCAAAAGCACCTAACTGTCACAGAAATCAAAAGGAATTGGGTGTCTAGGTGTTTTTGGAAATCCAAAGCTTACCTACATCCGTCGGCATTTAAAGACATTTTTTCTTGCATAGGTTATTCAGTAATTGTCTACAATGGGGTTTCTTGAACCTTCCTGTGAAATATCAGATTCTGACCAGTGTCAGAGCCAGGTTACTGGGCTAGATGGACCATGGATCTGGCATTTCACAGCTAAGGGGGCAGATTCAGGTAGTGGTTCTACCCTTTCACTTTTCTTTATCACTATTATTGTAAAATGATCAGATAACAGTCATTCCCATTGGCTGGAAATCGTGGCAGCAGAGGTGCTGCTGGATATGAGCAGGTGTTAGCTGATCTTCGACATGCAGCGGTCTCATTTGTCACCAATAACAGAATGTGCTTCTGTTTCACGCTCCTGGGGGAAAATAAAGAGGTTTCACTTTGGATAGTGTGAACATTCAGCCCATATATTTTTGTCAAGAACGAAGACAATTCTGTCCTGACTCAGACTAGGAGCTCTTCAGTGGAAAGATGAGCAAATTGCAGTGAACTGGATCCACAGGCACTAATTCCACTTAGAATTTCAGAAGAGCTATTTCTCCTATCTTATGTCTTTACATCACCAGTTTAATGGTATTACCTGCTTGTTCTGGCAGACAGCCTTCCCTTTCTCCCTATTAATAGAAGCACATCACTGGCTTAACAGAATATTAAAGCAAAGGCCTTTTACCTCTGGAAACAGGAGCCCAAATCCAATACAGGCTCCAAGTGATAGTGACTTTGGTCATCTCCACAGGCACTTGTGATATTGACAAGACCACTAAGCAGTTCCACATGATTGACAGTCTCTGCAGAGGGGAGATGACTGGGGCTGATGCAGCTCAGGACTGGGAAGCTTTAATAGAGCTAAAAGAACAGGAGTACTTGTGGCACCTTAGAGACTAACACATTTATTTGAGCATAAGCTTTCGTGGGCTAAAACCCACTTCATCGGATGCATGCAGTGGAAAATACAGTAGGAAGATATATATATACACAGAGAACATGAAACAATGGGTGTTACCATACACACTATAACGAGAGTGATCGGTTAAGGTGAGCTCAACTCCCACTGATTTCAATCTCACTCAGGCTGTGACAGGAACAGGATCCGGCTCCGGTTAGTGAGGGACTCAGTGCTATTTGTCCTGGTCACCCATTTGCAAGCTGTCCCGAGTTCTCAAGTGAAGCATGAAGGCCCCAAACCTGCAAACACTTATCTTGAAGCATGGAAGTAGTTCCACAGACTTTAATAGGGCTCCTCATGTTGGTAAAGTTAAGCCCGGGTGTGTATTTGCAGGATCAAGGCCTAAACTGGGATTTGATGCCATTATTTTCCAGTAGCATTTTGAATGGCTACTGACTAAAGAGCCGTGTTTTCTTTCAAAAGGAAATAATATTTGCATAATTAAGCAGGCAGCTATAATAGGCTTTAACCTGAACCATTTTAAATATTTTTTTTTGAAATCTCCACAAGAAAAAGGAAGCACTTGCTGCTTTACGGCCCCTGGAGAGTAATTAACTGTGTTAATTAGTGCACAGAAATACATGTGCATCTTAACAACAATTCATAGCAGAGTTCTGTGCCTACATATGGCTATGGAACTGCTAGCAAGTCCCTGTGTACTTGTTCTCTGCACAAGCACAGAGCTTCTGAGCCTATATTAAGCGCTAGTACAAATCCAGGTCAAGTACTGCATGTTATGCAATTATGTTAAATTGTTATTATTATGTTAATTGTCAATTTTAAAGAGCAGCCAGCTCCTTCTGGCATCAGAACTTGAACAATGTACAGTGTCTGGCTCAGATAAAAAGCGGGCAAGTGGTTACCACAGTTCCTTTAAATACGGGCCCAGTGAAGTGAGTGGAAGGGAGTCACGTTGACTTTGTTGGTCTTTGGATCAGGACCACTAGTCAACTGTCCGGAATATATGGCTATAGCAGAGGCGGTGTCCCTGTTTATGACCTTGGGAACCTCTTGCCCAAGGATAGAAATCCCCTCATTCCTGGGGTATTCAGTTAGACCTATGTTGCAACATTAAAATGAAATCCTAATTCTAGCTGCACTTCACCCCCACTTGGAAAAATTTAGCTAGAAGGTAGACAAAAACAGAGAAAAGCATGCTAACCTAATGGGCCCATTGCTAAAGCTTGCAAGGATGGGTCAGGAGACTTTGGGTATGTCTATACTGGCATGGGAGGGGTAATTTCCAGCTAAGGGGACATCCCCACACTAGTGATGATCAAGCTAGCACACTAAAAACAGAAGTGTAGCCACAGTGGCACAAGCAGTGGGTGGGGCTCGGCACTCAAGTACATGCCTGGGGTCTTGGATGGGATTGTAGTATGGCAGTTAGCCGGTCCCACCATTCACACCACTGTGGCTACAGTCTATTTACATCCCCCCTCAATCAGCACTAGTGTGGGTATGACTTCTCAAGCTGGAGGTCACACCTTCCAGCTCCACGGTAGACATACCCTTAGTGACAAAGTTAAAGAGGGCTGTTCTCACCGTTAGGAGCAGCCTCCAGTTCTCAATCCATTGCTCACTGCCTGGGAGTCTGATTCTTGTGCTGAAATGAGTATTCACCACTCATTGTTGCAGTGCCTGTCCTGCACCACTGCTTAAAGACTGCAGGATTTGACACAACGTTTATAAAGAGCTCTCTTGGGACTCTAAATCTCTGGAGCCATGATTGGTTATTATTTTAGTGGTTTTAGCCAACAGCAAGAGACATCGGATGCTTGTTCAATAATAATAAAAAAATCAGGTCTTACTTCAGTGCAAGGCACTAAAATAAGAAATAACTTATCAGCCTTCCCTTTCCTCTGTCACCCATTTAACAGCAAAGCAGCTTTCTTTACTCAATAGCTCCCCTGTAAGACCCAGGTTGTTAAATTCTGCAACTGAGCAAACTCTGCAGGTGATGAAAAGCATCTCTGACCATGCCTGGTTGCATTTGTCATCCCCATCTTCAGTGAGTTTGGTTTTCAAGAGGGAGGGCAGGGAACACAGAGCCTCCAGCAAGTTGGGAACAAACACTACAAAAGGGACAAAGGTTGACTTTGTTCCTTCACCCAAAGATTCAGAATAGGAGTGGAATCATCCTTTCCAGCAATGCCAGTGTTCAGAGCTCTAGAACATGGGATATGGAATTGTAAGAAGCACTAACCAAGGTTACAAGGAAGGAT